GTTTGGTTTGGTTTTTCGAGACAGGGTTTCTCTGTAGCTTTGCGCCTTTCCTGTAGACCAGGCTGGCCTCAAACTCACAGAGATCCGCCTGCCTCTGCCTCCCGAGTGCTGGCATTAAAGGTGTGTGCCACCACCGCCTGATAGGGAGAAGTTATTTATAATAGCAAGGAAAAGAAAAAGAAAAAAATGAAATAACTTGAGTGTCGATTCACTTATATTCATCTAAGAAGCCACATGTTTTCACTCGGGTCCTCTGGAAGAGCAGCCAGCGCTCTTAACCGCTGAGCCATCTCCAGCCTCCAGCCGTATATTCTCTGCTAGATTGAGTAGACCTTGAGTAAGGAGAGGCAATCTCTGAATTCTTTGCCATACCGCTTAGGTCATAATCCTGCTGCATCATTAGCCAGGAACATCCCACTTTCTGGTGTTTAGTGTTTGATGCTCATAGCGATGGCCCTAACTCTTGAGCCTTTTATTTGTTTATTTTTTAAGATCACATATTAATAATATAAAACATTTTGTAAACTTAAAATGTCCCATAGCTTTATAAATTTATATATTTTAAAAGTTGTTCTTTTTTTTTTTAAATCCAGTTTTAGCCAGGTGTGGTGGTGCAGGCCTTTAATCTCAGCACTCAGGAGGTAGAGGCAGGAGGATCTCTATGAGTTCAAGGCCAGCCTGGTCTACAAAGTGAGTTCCAGAAAAGCCAGGGCTCTGTTACACAAAGAAGTCCTGTCTCGAAAAACAGAACAAGACAAACAAATCCAGTTTTTTAATTCAAATTTAAAACTACAAAATTTCCTCTTAAAGAAGTTTAAAGTCTCTCAACTGTGAGCCCCTGCATTATAAAAAAATAAACAAAAAAAGTACCTTTTTTCCTTCAAGAGGGAAGAAGCAGGGCACAGCCACAGTCTGGACAAGGCAAACCAAGCTCCAACAGTGCAGACAGCTCCATGCTCCACATCTGGGATTCACCCACAATCCTCTGGGCTTCTCCAAGGGGCTTGGTCACCACTCTGGCCCCAGCTTCAGGAGCATACAGAGCATGCCTTTTCAGTCCCAGCCGGCTCCATTTAGTAGCAGGTGCTGTTTGTGGTGGATCTCATGGCGCTGGCATCCCCAACACTTCCAGGGCCCTTCCCTGGGCTCTCCTTAGGAACTCCAGCCAGCCCTGCCACACAGTGGTAAGCATCAGCTCTTCTCCATTCCTTCATATTTTTAAAACCAGTACCACTTGGGTGACTCTTACACTACAAAGCTTGGTTGCCAGCACAAGGTATGTTCTTGTGTGTGAATGTCCAAAGGTGCAGCTTTAATACCTTTTTAAAGAAGCATTGTTGTCAAGTCCTATCTTTCATAAACCTTGTTTTTATAGCTTTGTTTTCAGGGCAGGAATTTTTATACAAAAATCCATCCTAATCCAGAATATCTTGGAAACCTGTTGTCTCCTTGGTTGGTTTATGCCATGTGGTCATCTTTAATTAAGATGGCAGTGAAGTCACATGACATCCATCCTCTCCATCCCTAGCAAAGTTGGCTGCCAGCCACGTGGCTGTCTACTTCCTGATGGGGGACAGCAGCTAAGATGTTGGCAAACCACGCGTTGCTTATACCCCAAAGTGGCGCCATGCCACATGGTTCCCTTAAGATCACCTATGCATAGATTTTTAACTGTCAACACTCGTTATGAGTTTTAAGTTGTTTTTTTTTTTTACAGATTTTACATATATTTAACCATACAAAATAAACTTATAAACTTGAAGTACAGAAAGTTACATAAAACAATAATTCTAACTTTTTTGACTGCTCTGCTTTGCTTTCTTCTCCCTGTCACAGCATCAGGTGACTCCCCTGACCCTGGACATAGAGACTTTAAAAGCATGCATGCCTGGGTCGGAAAAAGGAAAAGCCATAACCCAGTTCCAGAGCCAGCTTTTCAATAAAGTAGAACAGCATTAAACAACTTTGATATTATCCACCCCAAGAGATGTTTGATCCCTGCTAAACTGAACCCAGTGGCCAGAAAGCTCAGAAATAAATTCTGAGCCCTGGCCATAAAAGTGGCCATGGTAGCAGTGGTGACTGGTGGCTGACACCACAGAGACAGAAACAATATACCAAGAAACACAGGACACAGAAAGCCCACACACTCCCGAGAACGGTCAGAAACAGAACATGGAGTGGCCACCATACTTTTCAACTGATTCTGATCCGTTGATTTTCTCTCAGCTCCCTCCATGCTTACAACCGGAGAACACAGACCCATCGACAGACAAACCTTTTCAGCAATAAAACAGACAAAATTCTCTCCATTCAGGAGACAGGCAGACAAAACTTTCCAGCTAACCGGAACTGGGCAGGCTTCACTATTTGCCTGATGTCTTACTGTTTGCCCTGAAGGGGAGAATATTGGGGTCCCATTGACCGCCCCCCCCATATCCCAGATCATTGTCTCACAAAACAGAACAGACTATGACTCTCCAGGAGGCCTCCATAGATGCTTGCTGCTTTTCTCAGCATGGCAGTTCACTCAATAGTCCATCAAACCAAAGGGAGCCTTGGAGCCTTGGAATGTTATAAGGTGTGTGCCTCCTGCAGTGGTCTCAAAGCCCTCGAGTTCCAGAGTGAAGATCTGGCTTTAGAATTTAGATAGGGGCGGTGGTGGCGCACACCTTTAATACCAGCAAGTGGGAGGCAGAGGCAGGCGGATCTCTGTGAGTTTGAGGCCAGCCTGGTCAGCAGAGCTAGTTCCAGGACAGCCAGGTCTACACAGAGAAACCCTGTCTTGAAAAACCAAACCAAACCAAATAACAAAAAAAAACTTTTAAGAGGGCTGGAGAGATGGCTCAGAGGTTAAGAGCACTGGCTGCTCTTCCAGAGGTCCTGAGTTTAATTCCCAGCAACCACATGGTGGCTCACAACCATTTGTAATGAGATTTTGTGCCCTGACATGCAGGCAGAACACTGTGTACCCTCTCTGACATGCAAGCAGAACACTGTACATAAAATAAATAAATAAATAAATAAATAAATAATAAATAAACAAACAAATAAATAAATAAACAAATAATAAAAAATAGAATTTGGGGTGGGCAGTCTGAATCTCGCTGGGGCCTCCAGAAAATGTTAATCCCACCAGTTGAGAATAAGACCACTACCACCATTTTTTTGAGCAAAATTTGAAGCAAGCTTTAATTAAATACTGGCCAAATTCATGGACTCTGGCCAGGACCATTCTAGGGTTCCCAGAAAATGGCAATGAGTCACATTTTGTAGAGACTTATAAAGACAGAACCCATAAGGCTACGTATTTGCCACCGCGTCCTATCAGGGGCAAGTATATTCCTGATTTTCTTCCTGCCTACCACTTATGTGTGACCAAGCACATCCGGTTCTGTGGGATCGACCCAGCTTGTTTAGAGGAGGAAAAACATGTGGCTTCTTATCTTATATGAACAACAGTCCCCAGCAATTCAAGAAGTCTCTGGCCTTAGGCAAGTGGGCTTACAGATTCGAGGCACAGTAATTAAAACATCAAACACAACGTTATCTCTCACAGGTGCCCTCCTTTTGTGTTGTCCAGTGAACTAGGTGTCTTCCTGTGTGGTCGAAAGTGGCTCATCATGTTTCTGCATGATTCTCATCATGTTTCAGTCCACAGGAAAGAACAGAAAGCAGAAAGGGACTGTGCTAAGGGGTGCACCCTGGGAGTTGTAAGTAGGAATTCTGTTCATATCTCATTGGCTAACACAGAGCATCACTAAATCCAAGGGAATCTGGGAAATGTAGTCTGTGTCCTAGCAGGCCATGTTTCCACCTGAAAATCCAGAGTTCTGTTGGGGAGGCGGGTGTACTGTCCCGGTGGAGAGAAGAACAACCCCTGCTGTATTTCTCCTTGTGGTAATACTTATGCAAAGGGATGGAAAAAAGGAAACACACAGGAAATGTTTCTTTTTAAATTGCCATAGTCTCCTTTTCTTTGCTTCTCTTAATGTGATACTTGTGTTTTTAATGAAACTGAAAACGTTTTCTTGATTTTAAAACCATAAAACATCACAGACAAGTCATAGAGTGAGTCCCCCATACCTGTCCCCAGCTCCAGGTTAGCATTGTCTCAGCATTTCCCTATGGTCTTCATTTTTCCTCTTCCTGTTTTACTGTTTTGTAAAGTAGCTCTCTCATGTACTGTGTCATCAATAAACACTTCTGTATAGATGGCGTAAAGGACGGCCTTCTGAAGAATCACATTTTTAATCTGTGTGTGTGTGTGTGTGTGTCTGTGTGTGTGTGTGTGTGTGGTCAACAGTGTAGAATTAGGAGAAAATATCAGTGAGATCCATGGCTGATATTAGAGAAAAACACTTGCGCGCTCTCTCTCTCTCTCTCTCTCTCTCTCTCTCTCTCACACACACACACACACACACACACACACACACACACACACTCACACACTCTCACACTCACGTCACAGTGCACATGCAGAGGGCAGAAGACAACTTTCAGTTGTTGATTCTCTCCTTCTACAAAGTGGGACCCAGGGATCCAAATCAGGTCATCAGACTTGCCGTGACCGACTTAGCCATCTTGCCAGACCCCTACTCCAAATTAAAATTTTAAATTTTGGAATAGTAGTAGGTTCATATGTGACAATGTATAGATTCTCTGTACCTTTATCGCCCCCCTCCCCATGGCATCTTGCAAAACAATAGTGCTGTGTCTCAACAGGCATGTCAGCAAGGATCCATCAAGACCCAGAATTTCCATCACTTCAGGGCCTTTCACGGTGCCACGCCCCACACTCCTTTTAATTTTTTCTTCCTGAAACAGTGGAACCCTTTAGCATCAGCTGAGTGTAACTCCCTCTCGTTTCTTTCAAGTTGTACCAGGAATCCATCCCTTTTTAATCACCAAGCAGCACTCCAAGCGAGGCTGTATCACTTTAGTCTCTTAATGTATAATCCACCTGACGCTTCTCTCTTTCTTCCCCTCTCTCCTCCCAGCAATGCCAAGTGAGTTCACCTCTGTAAAGCTGAGAAGCGATTGCACAAGGACCTCCCTGCAATGGTACACCCGAACCCAGAACAAGATGAGAAGACCCAGCTTGTTACTAAAAGACATTCTCAAGTAAGCATCGCCTCCAGGTCCTGTTCCTCCCCGTCAGCAGCATAAGGTTAGGAGGGTGGTCAGTGAGGGTCGTACCTGTTTTTAGAGGAAGACACTGGTCCGAGGAGCGGGTCAAACCACAGCTGAGTAAGGACTCGGTATACAGATGAGTGGGTCTATGCACTGCTTGCGTTTGATGGATGGGTCTGACGGGGCCCCATTCCTAGCAGCTAATCAGTCTGAGCTTGGACGCCTGAGAGCAGCTTGAATGCCTCTTGTTCATGTCTCTGCTTAGCGAAAGAGGCGTTCTTAGCTATTGTGAGCTAATGTAAATATGACAGATGGAAGTGCCCTGGAGACTAAGTACCACTAAATACAGAACATTGGAGAAGACGGCAGGTGTTTAAGCCAGGTGACCCTTATATCCCAGCAGCGGGGAGGGTTAGCAAAGGAAGACTTGATGGGTTTCTTGGTACCAGCCAAACCAAGGTGACATCTTCTTTCCTTCTTTCTTCAGAATAAATGACAGCGTGTGTGTGTGTGTGTGAGTGTGTGTGTGTGTGTGTGTGTGTGTGTGTGTGAAAGAGAGGGGGGTGGGGAGCAAGCTGGGGAGAGAGAGAAAGATGAGATTTTGTTTCTCACTTCACTTTACTAATTTAGGAGATGTGAAAGTAAGGTTTTTGTTTTGTTTTGTTTTTTTCCGAAGCTAAGGATAGAACCCAGGGCCTTGCACTTGCTAGGCAAGCGCTCTACCACTGAGCTAAATCCCCAACCCCAAAGGCGGAGGTTTATGTGAATCCCATTCGGTCCCAACCAGCTGGTGTTTATTGAGGCTGACAACACACTTACCACTCTATCAGGTGCCTGCTGGAGGACCTAGACCAGAAGGCCCTAGGCCCATGCTGAGTGGTGTGTGCAGGGCAGACCCATGCTAGGAAGTACAGTGAAGAGAGCGCATGCTGCAGATGTGGAGATGCCTTTAATACCTTTCATTTAAAGAAATCAAATCGGGGATCCAGCTCAGTGGTAGAGCACACACCTCGCATGCAAGAAGCCCTGGATTTGATCCCCAGCATTCCATAAACGAGGTGTGATGCTGTATGTCTGATATCTCAACACTTAGGAGGTGGAGGCAGGAGAATTCGGAGTTCAAGATCTTCTTCACCTACATAGTGATTTGGAGGCCATCCTGAGATACATGAGACTATGTCTCTCTCTCTCTATACATACACACACACACACACACACACACACACACACACACACACACACACACACACGGGGTGGGTGAAGGCAGGGAAGACAGGACAGGAGAACTGGGGGAGATACTTCAGTCATCAAAGTACTGAGGACCTAGCTTCAGTCCCCAGAACCCACACTAAAGAAACCAAGCAAAGTGGCATGTGCTTATAATCTCCGAGCTGGGGAAGTCTTAGAGATGCTTGAATCCCTGTTGCTCACTAGCCAGCCAGCCTAGGCTGCTTGGAAAGTTCTAGGTCAATAAGAGATCCTGCCTCAGAAATAGGGATAGAGGGAAGGAAGGGTCTCAGAGGGTAAAGGTACCTGGTGATCTGAGTTTAACTCCCCGGGACCTACATGGTGGAAGGGGAAAGCCAGCTCCAGCGTACAGTCCTTTGGCTTCCACACAGCCGTGCGTGATGCACGCCCGTGATATGCCTACACACATACCTCACACATGTCACAGAGAGAGCGGGGAGAGGGAGAGAGAGAACAGGGTTTAGAGAGAGGAGTCGGTCATACTGAGTTCACGAGCTTAGTCGGAAAGGTATCAGGGGCCCAGGGAAATGCCTTCTCCTCCCCTCCATGTTTGCCCTCCGCTCTGGGGACTGGTGTTACCTGTATCTTGTATGTATAAGTCGCCCTTTTTGTATGGAGATTTGCTCTCTCCACGCTCAGCCAAGCCATTTTCATAGACAGTACCAGGTCCTAACCGTGTGCTCAATCTCAGGAAAGATTAAGACATGGTGCAGGTTTCCGTGCGCAGCATGGTGAAGGGAGAACTCCGGAAGTCTGACGTGACGCACTCCCAGCAACCCCTCCTTGCGTTGTGAGCCTCAGATCCGTTTCCTCAGCACTTTGCCTCTGTTACAGCCAGTGGAGTTTGCTAGGGGCTTGATTTTAAAAACTGCCTCTGCCTTAAGAAAATGTTGCTTTTCTCAAAAGGTTATTCCTTACCTTTGTTTGTATAAGCCATAGAGAGTTGGAGGGATGTCTCCTGAGTACTTTGTGCACTTTGAGTGGACCTGGGTTTGTTTTCTATTGCCCATGTCGTGGCTCATAACTTCCTGTAACCCCAGTTCCAGGAGATCTGACACCTTCACCTGGCCTCCTTGGGGACCAGGCACACATGTGGTGAACATACATACATCCGGGCAAATACTCATACACAGAGGTAGAAGTAAATAAGTCTTAAGAATGTAGATTGTTAGCCGGGCGGTGGTGGCGCACGCCTTTAATCCCAGCACTTGGGAGGCAGAGCCAGGCGGATCTCTGTGAGTTCGAGGCCAGCCTGGGCTAC